GCACTGTCCCAAGGACAATCTCTGCGTTCAACTGATCAGGCAACTTAGATATAAACTGACTTTCAATAGGAAGCTGTTGATTCATTAAAGAAAGATAATATTGCAGTTCACTGTGTCCAGTTATTATGATTCCCTCACCATTAGTGTCATATTGAGGCCTTCCTGCTCGGCCAAGCATCTGCATAACATCAAGGGGACTGAGTTCAGTCCAGGCTGCCTTTTCAGGATTGTATATTGTGGTGCCTTTTATGATGACAGTATGTGCAGGTAAATTGACACCCCAAGCTAAGGTGGCTGTTGAAACCAAAACTTGCACATGGCCATCAGCAAAAAGTTCCTCCACAAGTTGACGATCAGTCCTATCTAACCCCGCATGATGAATTGCGAAACCATATGGTAAAAGATCTCTGAGATCATTGCTCTTGACAAGCTCTGTTTGAGACTGAAGAATTTCGTGAGTTACACTATCCTCCTTCAAAAACTTACCAAGTGTGCCATTAGCACATGCAGTATCTCGTATTGCACGAGCTGTTCTAGTTGTTTCCTTCCTTGAGTGGACAAAAATAAGCACTTGATGCTTTCCAGCCACATTGATTACCTTCTCCATAGCAAACATCATTCATCAGATGGAACCTCTGCAACCGATTCTTAACAGTAATTCCAATATACTGTTGAGCCAATGGGACAGGTCTGTAACTATTGTCAAAATGGAAGAGGCCTTTCTTCAGATTAACTCTCAAAAACTCGGCCACATCCTCACAATTTGGGAGAGTCGCTGATAACCCAACCAGCCGGATATGCTCTACCATAATCTCGCTTTGTCTGATAGTTCTTGCAATTATACTTTCCAAAACAGGACCTCTGTTGTCATGCAGAAGATGTATCTCATCAATTATAACAAGTTTAACAAGCTGTGTATATGTGCGATCACCTGACTTTCTGGTTATGATATCCCATTTCTCCGGGGTTGTCACAATAATTTGAGTTTCTTCAATCTCTTGATGAGTTAGTGTTTGATCTCCACTCAATTCCTTTACACTGACACCATAATGATCCAAACGCCTTGAGAGATTGCCAACTACTTCAGCAACAAGTGCTTTCATGGGTGCCACATAGACAATCTTATAATTGTTATGGTTGAAAGATCCATTATCTTCATTACGGTTCAATCCAATTTGCTGAAGTATAGTAAGCATAGCTACATTAGTCTTTCCAGCTCCAGTGGGAGCACACAGTAAGATATTGTCAGGGGAAAATAGGGCAGTTTCGTATACCTTACTCTGCACCCTATTCAATTGGGACATCCCACTGAAAGCTGGTTGTGCCCACTCCGGAAGGGAGGAGATCTTCACGAGCTCTTCGAGAGCTAATGGCTTTGGCTTCAATGCTGGCACATGAACTTCCTCATAACCCTTCTTATGATTTCTATAAGATCCCACCGGAACCTCACACTTTTTATGTGCCATCAACAGATCACTCTGTGGGAAGGCAAGGCTGTCAAGATCGAGCAACTGACGCTCGCCCATCAACCAACCATTATCAACATCTTCAGCATCTGCTCCACCAGTCTCATCTTTATAAATGAGACGCCTAGCTTCTTCCCTAATGCTTTTCTCCAAATTCTTCTCTCTCTCTTTTGCAGTTGCCCCATTAGTAGCATGCAACTGCTCCAATATTGCAGCATGATCTGGACCCAAACCCAACATCTCTTGTTCAATTTTCTTCCTCTTTGCTTGGTCTTCAGCGCTTGCAAGACGAGTACACCACACTACCTTTATCCGGTTTCTCAGGAGATACTTAATGAGACTGAACTTGTCAAACTGCAGATGCACCAGCAGCTTGGTTTCCACGTCACGGTCATCACCACCTTCAGCAAGAATTATAAGAACCTCTTCAGCAAGCTTTTGACACTGTTGCGGATCAATCTTCTGCTCAAGATAAGCTTGAGATATCTTTCTTTGAAGCCAATAAGCATCTATATACTGAACATCCAAAGCCATTCCCTCATCGGCTTCCTGCAATATATCAATTCCATTGCCCGTCTGCATAGTGCTAGTAGTACCATCAACTTCCTCTTTTTCATCATCTGGCACCAGATCAAGATCACTTTCTTCTTCTTCGTTCTCCTCAAAATCAACTGCTACACAAACATCATTATCATAATTAAGTGCTTCATCACCTTGATAATCAGTGATGAGTCTGCCAATTGAAACAAAATGATCAAATACCTGGTCTGATATGGGAGCATTCAACAGCTTCTGAATTTCCAGCTTTTTCTTTTCAGGGTTGTTGAAGTTAATACTATCATTCTTTAGCACAGCCAAGATCTCATCAGCTGCGGCAGTCACAATGTTGAAGGGCTGTCCTCCACATAAAAGGTGCTGAATTATAGAGAGCATGGCTTCATAAGCAGCCCTAGTTTCCTTTGTTTTTGGCTGGTAATCTCCTCCTCCTCCTCCTTCCAAAGTAAGAACACTTTCTTCATGAATCCTCCGTCTCTTCTCAGTGGGCTCAGATACAAGTGGACGTTCCCTTTCCTTCTTCTGAATTTTCTCAGGAGGCTTACACCTGTAAACGCGATCCCCAAAAGTTTTGGGGTCAATTCTTCCAGACAGAGACTCTGCTTCACCAGAGGTTGAATTGGCTCCATATTCATACTGTTGATTGAAGCCTGCATGTGAATGTGCCATCTTCAATCAGAAATCAAAACACCTAAAATCACTGCAAACAAGGACGTTGTTATGATAATTACTACAAGGCTAAAATAACCAAAGAAAGAACCCACAAAAATTGTACGAAAAAACTTCAATTGCGGGTAAAGCAAAGGGGTTGAATGAGATATAGTAATAGACAGTTTGTAGCGGAGCACCCATATTTATAATGCTACAAAATCCTATTTAGACACGGATTTGATTAATTTGCAACTACCAAATCCTAATCAATTTAGGATTATTAACCTTGGTTTAATTCCAACAACTACAAATTCTACTTAAATATGGATTAGCAACTACCAAATCCTAAACGATTTGGGATTTTTCTGATTTTGGATTGAAACGTTAAAGCAAAGGCCATAGCAGTGTCGCCGTTAGTTACACATTGTAAAAATAGCACGGGTAACCAGTTTTCGGACTGGTCATTCAAAAATAGCCAGCATTTGCAAAGTTATTGAAAAATAGTCATTATTTTGCTGCAATAGAGACTGGTCCAGCATATTATACTGGAGAACGGTGCACCTGTGTATGAACTTCCTGCATATTATGTTGGAACTCCGCGGAAAGTTCCAGCATAATATACTGGAGATTGGAGCACCTGTATATGAACTTCCAACATATTATACTGGACCGGTATATTATACTGGAACTCCAGTATATTATGCTGGAGTATTTTCCAAATTTTGAACAGTGTTTTCGTTCAGATTTATCTTGACACGAAAAACGGCTAAATTTCTATTACTTTTAAAACCGTAACTATTTTTGAATGACCACCTGCAAAATCTGGCTATTTTTGAATTTCTTTACACATTCGGTAAGAGATCAGTCGAAACTCGTAAGGGAATGAGTTAAACCAAAAAAAAAAAAAAAAACGAGTCCATGACTTTCTATTTGAATTTTTTATTTTTATTTTTTTCATAATTGGCGTGAGTGAGAATATTCGGCTGGCCATAGTGGCAAATTTTAGGTATAAATGAAAACGTCTATTCAGTTAAGTTACTAATAATTGGTGTTATAAACGATTGATTTCTTTAAATTCCCGCATTATGAAGTTGAATCAATTATATTATGTTTCACAAAATCGCTTAACAATGAGATAATCGCTATGCTATAGGAAAAGAGATTTTATAGAGAAACCTTCTTGAACTTCTTTTTGGAGATTGTGATCTCAACCAGTATTATAAAAGACGGTATTTTATTTAACGTGAGGCAAACATAAGCCCGAGACATGGGACATAAGTCCCATTAATCTGTAAATTTTTTAATTTATAAACTAATAAAATATCATATTAACCATAAAAAATATATATCACATTAAAAGTTTAAATTAAATTAAAAATGATTTAAAAACTCATAGAAAATAAAATATCTAGTATTATTTTCCAAATATAAAAAAACCAATTGTGTAAAAGTTATTGTTTGCAATAAATTTTCGACATATAAAAAATAAACTTCACAAAATAAGAGAAAAATATTGTTACTAATCAATTGTGAGGACAACTCTGTTTCTCCCTTATTCTTCTCTCCTGATTATCTCCGTAATTCAAGGACTGAAGCAGCATATTTTTCGAATGTAGGATGATGCAAACCTCCGAAGATGTATTTGATCTCCACCTTCTTGAACTATTTGATATCCCAAGAGTTTATGGAATTTTCGAGAAGATCTCCATTTTTTTGAGATCTCCCTTTTAAGGATATGTAACCCTTTTTATAAGAGTGACTTAAAGTTAAGATAGAGTAGCCTCCAAGGTAGATTTTTGGTAGAGTAGCCTCCAAGCAACTCTAATAAACTCGGACTTAGCCCAAATTTCATATGGGCTTGATCCGTTAAGATTTGGATGCCTACAGTTATTATGGAATAAAAATCAACTATAAAATGTTATCTTTCAAACATCTAAAATATATATGATTGCTTAAAAAAATATTATCGAATTACACAATTTATATCTCTTTAAAAGTTAATAATTAATAAATTTCATCAGTATTGTAATTTAAATTATTACTCCTTATGAGTAAATATAAAATTACTTTAAATAACAAAATAATAAAAATTTAATAATTTTGAGAGACATAGAACTAAGATAATAAGACCTGTAGTAAGTGAAAATTTAAATTTTGGTTACCTATCCAGAAGAAATATTTTCAGTTAGTAAATATGTACTACTATCTCAATCTTCATGTTTCTATAGATGAAATAGAACTTTAATCATTTATTTTCTTAAAGAATTTTGAGGGTTAACAGTGCACATTAGGGAATTCGACGAATGATTTGCATTAGGAACTATTAGGTGAGCCACAAGCGTTGAGCATTAGGCATACTTCGGACACACAGTCGGAAATTAGGAACTATTAGGTGAGCCACAAGCGTTGAGCATTAGGCATACTTCGGACACACAGTCGGACACACAGTCGGGCGCTTGGGACATAAGCCTCACAGAACTAAACCCCACACGTGAGCCTCGAGGCGTTTTGGCGAGTCCCAAAGAAAGCTAACAAGCTTATACATCATTTTTGTGGAAAAGTTATACTCCATTTATCAAACAACGAAAATTTCAACGTTAGCGAACTCCTTAGCAGAAGTCCACTTGTTTTCCAACTACATCTTCAGAATATTAGTACTCTTGAGGTTCTAAGTCCGATGTAATCAACCTGCAAAGGATTAAGTTATGCGTTAACTCAAATATTTTGTCTGAAGAGGTAAACCAATTTATAATAACATCATCTATGCATGAAATTCACATTACCCAAACTCTCCAAAGAAAACAAGTAGAAGTTGTAAAATAAAATCAAAGTTCTGCAGATGCAGAAAAATAATTGAGAAAAAAAAAACTAATAGAGAACGTCTTACATAGTAGCTCTTTCTAAAAGAATCTACTTAATATAACTGCAGAAACTCTTGCACGAAAATCAACTTTGCTTAGAGTTATAAGATAGTAGCATGAAACCTCTGCTGCATATATGTAATTTGTTGGTTGTTACCAAAGTCCGAAACAAACTAAGCCAATCCACTAAAGAGTTACGTCTACGGCAAAATAGTTAAGTTCATTCAGGAAAAGTACTTCAAGTCATAAAATATGTGGACTTCTTCTTCCGTAGCATACTATCTGACCAGATTTAGCAAAAAAATAAATAATAGTAGGACAACCAAAATTGAAGTCATGAATCATTTTTTTCTCCTATTCTCCCTATGCAGAGGGCAAACTCGAAAAGGATTGAACTGTAAAACATCATGCAACACGGCAATGCACTTTCCCAAGCAGTTAAAATGCGTTTACTTTCATCAAAGAGTTGGAAGTGCCCCAAACACATTATACTTTTCAGTATTCTTCTATTTCTAGTTTTTGCAATAAAGTTTTAGAGTCCATCACTCCATCTTAGTCTAAAGATTTACTGATATTCAATCTGATTTGCTTCAGTCTATCTAGTGCACAAATAATTTAGTAGAAAAACCCCTATACCGGATAATATTTTGTAAGTTGATTGATGCATCTATCGTCATATGCATATTACTACTAGAATCAACTGAAGTGCCATCAGCAGAAGATTTTAGGAGTGTGCACGGCAAGAGGTCCTTTTTTGTTGAGACCAAAAGCATTTGGAAACAAAGAGGAATCAAGCATGGGTAGAGGAAAGAAAATTATCTTACGGCACTATGTTCAATAACCAAGAAAACACTAGAAGGATATTGACAACTCAGAATCACTTTGAAGAGTCAGAAAAGATTTACAAATAATAACCTGCTACAACATTTGTCCCAACAGACTTGAAGTGACAGACCATAAAACTTTATCCCATGTAAGGAACAAGTCTCAAATTCTTTTCGCATCAGAGATATAGCCATGAATTATAGGAAATACTTGTCACAAAAAAAGAGGGTGAAAAAAGGATGACAAATTGATTGATCTCATAAGGCATAGCTCTTGTTGCTAAGTGTTTCCATTTCATTTTCAAGAAGTTGCAATATCCTTATTTGCAGTCTTTCGAAACTTGAATATTGAATATGGAGTTCATTTATTGTTGAATCATGTATCCAAAGTTTAAGAAATGCCTCATAAGAATCAGAAAAATATGTGCAACAGTTTATCTATGACACATATTTATGGTCACATTAATATGTCATCAGTCTAATGATAGTTATCTTCTTTTCTTGTTAATAACGTCTGAAATTTTGAGGCTCAGTTCTTACCTGATGCAATAGATCTGAGGAGGCAATAGCAACTTCTTATCATGATAATCCTGAGCGTCGCAGCTTGCTGACATGTTTCAAGTGCAAAGTGAGCATCATTTTTTACCTGGATTGATGCGTAAAGTGCACGGTTCAATAATAATAATAGCCTACTAATGCCATGCCATAAGCTCAAATGTACTTGATATTATTAGAATTAGCTAATAAAGTTTAATCCTATAAAGGTAAATCGTAGAAGTAACTGCGAATTTCTTTGAAGAAAATTCAATTGTCATTGTTTATGTATTTTTTTTATCCAACTATTATACATCTAGTAACCACGACACTTCCATTAGTTTTTCAAGAGTAGCCAGGACATCATATGAAAAAGGAGTAGTACATTCACGTAAATACTTTAGTGTTCTAACAGATACGATGTATAAAGGGATGGAATAATGAATGAAAGACATGAAATCTTTTTATTGACAAAAAAATGACAAATGGCTATGGTAATTGCACCTTGATCAAAATGTAGGGCACAATCAAAGGTTTTATATTTCCTTTCTCCTGATAAAGTAAATATAGATTTTACGATATAAATTTACGTTAAACTTCATGTGAAGAATGTTATATAATCAAATCTTTAATGTATTTTTAAACCTTAAGGTTTTGAACTTTGAAAAAAAAGTGTCTTGTATTTTATAGTGAAACTAAGAAACATATTTTTTTCAAAAGAACAGTCTTTATTGTGAAAAGTACTATTATACGAACTATTTTTTGTTCAAAGTAACTGTCTTTGTTGTGAAAAGTACTACATGAACTTTTCCTCAGCAAGGAATAATATTGTAAAAAAATTTAATTACCTTTTAGACAGTCCCAATCGAGGGAGAAAACATAAAGAATCAGTTGCCTTCAAATTACCAACCTGTTACATGCAAGGTAACAGAAACATCATCAAGTCTGTCCGTGCAAACCCACAATGATAAAACGATAAGTAGAAATGTGTCAGTAGAACTATACCTGATATTTTAGGCTTCTCAAATTTCTCAAACAATAAATCGGTGGATTAAGCACATCGAATCAACTGCTTGTCTGTTGAGGAGTAGCATGAACTTTCCACGAGTATTCAAGTATGACCATCAAATACAATCAGGTTCCACAAGTATTAACGAGTCGTCTCTTTAATATATCTTCACTATTATCATCAATACTTAACCACCAAAAATACATATTTTAGCAATGAAATAAGAGTTATTGTCTAGAAATAGAGATATTACCTTCCAACAGAAGATGGAGGCCATTCATTATATAGATCAAAAGGTAGACTTCGCATTTTAGGAGAAGCTATTGACAATTGACATGATACCACAAAACGAACATGAATTCATACATCACATAATATAAAGATTAATAATAATATTCTAACACTAATAATCCAAAAAGTTGATAAAACACATGAAATCGCATAACTCCGCAGATAAACTCTGAATTCAATTTACCACCAAGATGTTGTGGTTAAGCCAATCACATAATTCTGTAATACAGAAAGTTGAACCATGATATTGTTGTAACTATTTAATATTCTACATTAGGGGTGGCAATTTGAGCTCAAACCCATCTAACCCGCCCAGAGATTAATGAGTTGGGTTACAAACATTTTAGCTCATGGGTCAATTTGGGCTGAGCCCAAATTAACCCATTTTATTTTATAGCCCATTCTGACCCATTAAGCAGCCCAAATACAACCCATGAAACTCACCCAAAACAAAAAGGTATCTCACCCCACTAATATAGAAATTTATTTAGTTGCCCCAATTTTACTTTTTTTTGTATTTTCAATTTTATGTTCTTTTGTTTTTCTGCACCATCCCCTTCCCCCCTCCCCCCTCCCCCCTCCCCCGCCGCAAAATCCCCCTCCCCATCAATTTTTTTTTTTTGTATTTTCAATTTTCTGTTTTTTTTTCTGCACCACCCACCCCTACCCCAGCGCAAACCCTCTTAAAAAAATTTATTTACTTTTTTTTTGTGTTTTCAATTTTCAATTTTTTTGTTTTTCTGCACCATCCACCCACCCTGCCTCCTACCCCCTCCCCCCGCGCTCTAACCCACTCGAATCTTTTTTTTACTTTTTTTTTTGTATTTTTAATTTTCTGTTTTTTGTTTTTACGTTTTTCTGCACCACCCACCCACCCCCGCCCGCAAAATATTTTTTTAACTTACACATTTTAAGGTAAAAGGCTTTTTTATGCAAGATGAGCATGGTTCTAAAACATGGGGTCAAATTGGGCGGCGGGG